TTCTCTCTGCTCTTCTCTCTGCTCTTCTCTCTGCTCCTCTCTCTGCTCTCTCTCTGCTCCTCTCTCTGCTTCTCTCTGCTCTTCTCCTGCTCCTCTCTCTGCTCTTCTCTCTGCTCCTCTCTCTGCTCTTCTCTCTGCTCTTCTCCCTGCTCCTCTCTCTGCTCCTCTCTCTGCTCCTCTCTGCTCTCTCTGCTCCTCTCTCTGCTCTTCTCTCTGCTCTTCTCTCTGCTCTTCTCTCTGCTCTTCTCCTGCTCTCTCCTTCTTCTGTCTTCTCTCTGCTCCTCTTCCTTCTCTCTGCTCTCCTCTCTGCTCCTCTCTGCTCCTCTCTCTGCTCTTCTCTCTGCTCTTCTCTCTGCTTCTCTCTGCTCTTCTCTCTCTGCTCAAGTTTTCTGGCAATAAAATAAAGAGGTGTCTTTTCATGATACTTCAATTAATATACAGTACACTGTATAATGCTACATGATAAATAAAAGGTCGATCGGTGATAGGTATCTGCTTATACTGCTTTCAGCAATCGGTGATCGGCCCACCTCTAATCATGACCGATATAAATGATGATACTGATGATAGTATGAAAAGCCCTGCTATCAAATTGGTTAACAGGCAAGTGGAAAATAAGGTCTCTGGCCCTGCATGTCAACCCCATAGAGGAAAGTCAGAGGATAACCAATGTCAAGAGGATACGCGGTCTGGGAACCATGAATGCATGGACGCCATTTCAAGTCAATCCATCCAATACTTTCTTAGATAGTTTTGTCTGAACCAAAGTGGTGGACCGACTTTGCGGGATCACCGTAGTGTTGCCAAGGCTAGTGAAGCTGAAACTAAACTAAAGTGGGTCAGGACTCAGGGCTGCTTGCGTTTTCTTTGTCCTTCCAGCTCCAGCTCCCGTCCTGAACCCCAGACTCCTCCATCCTCCCAGGAGGGAAGGCCATTCTACCCCAGCGAAGTGGACGCAGAGAAGGAGGCAGCACCGGGATATTACACTACCAACTCCTACCAGTACCAGGACACCGAACTGTAGGGTCGGCACACAGCTTCCTGGATGTACATGTACACATACAC